ATCGATCTTTTCCATTTGAAAATTGTCGACGATATCGATGCCTTCAATAACTATTGGTGGGGTAGGAGATGTTTTGAGTACACCATACGTCTTCACCAGATCACACTCGAAGCCGAAAGGGTCCATGCATAAGTACGATACATATGAATTATCACTGACAGTGCAAGTAAATATTTAACGTAATCAACGTTAAAATATTTTTATAGTAAATTTATATATAATAATTGTATGTGTTGCAAATCTAGACATATGAAATTATCCTCCTCTTGGGTACCCAATTTGCTAGGCGAGGGGAGACATGTCGCCATCGGATGAATCATTACGGTCATTCCGATCATACAGATGTCCATCTGACAAATAGTTATCATCTTTCCTCGATGACCCTCAATGGTATTGTACATTTGTGATTTATATTGTACATAATTTCAAAATCTCATCACATGATCATTAACTAGTTGAAATGTCAATGTGTTAGCTTGAAGTATAACTGAGTTGACGTCGTCCACGTAGGAGGGTTGAGATTGTGTGTGTGAATTAGTCGTTCGACACACTCAAGATGACCGATGTCCGATTTCATCCTGTACCGAGATAGGGTATGTGAATTGAATATAATTTATTAATTATCGATTTGTATAAGTTAGCCTATTTTAATTAAAATAATATTTTTAATATTTTTATTTTTACAAGAGTGCGGTTCAGTTGATCGACGATCACCTCCATCGATGAGATCCCATTTTCCCAATGTATCTTCTTTATATAGTCAAAATCATTATTTCAATGATCTGTATGATCTTTGACTGGATTTATAGTGGAGAAGATAGGCACGATATGAAATGCATGGAGCGTGCTATGAAGAGGATGTAGGTGCACTAGAATGACAGGTGAGAGGCAAGGTAGACGATTTATTCCATGATGTTGGAGTGTTGTGTCTCCACTTCATAGACCTTCAGAATGAGATCGTAGCTACGAGATGACATAGCAGGCAGACGATAGGAAGGCAAACGAGATGGCGGAGAGGGGGTGATGGGAAGGGTTATGAAAAAGGGAGTTATCCACTATTGTGGACAGATAAAAATTACATTAGAATCAATTTTTATTGTCTGTGGAATGGGAGGGGGTGATTGTGCATGATAGACTAACTATTGTACGGGACACAACGACGATGAAACAATCAATATTGTAAGTGTTCATAGTTTCTTAATTTGAAAACTTAGTTTTTAGCTAGAAGGTACTGGAGTAACATATTGTTATTCAATTGCGGGGGCAATTGCAGCATGTTTGACATAACATATATTCAATTTTTGAGTATAGCATATAAGGTTGATTGAATCAATCAATCATGGATACAAATTTGGAAAAATAAGTTAGCGTGTAATTTATATAAATTCAATTGTGATCCGTAAATTCTTTATTTAATTATGAATCCTGTAAAACTTATGTAAACATTGTACATTCAATTGTTTATTTAATTATGAAATAATTACATATATTACAAAACTCATGTAAATATTGTACATTCAATTGTTTATTTAATTATGAAGTAATTGTACATATTGCAAAACTTATGTAAACATTGTATATTCAATTGTTTATTTAATTATAAATATTGTAAAACAAATGTAAACATTGTAGATTTAATTATGAAATAATTATAAAAATTGTAAAACAAATGTAAACACGGTATATTTAATTATGAAATAATTTTAAATACTGTAAAATAAATGTAAATATTGTTCATTTAACAACGATATTATTACACATTAATCTAATTATCATTTAGGGAAATCTGACTTGTACATAATTAACGAATATGCCCTATTTTTCTACACCTATTGCACTTGTGCGGTCGAGAAAACTATCTGGTAGATGGTATTCTAGGCGTATGTGGGCGTCTAGGACCATGCAATTCAACTTCTGGTGGTAGCAAACTATTAAGTGGGGAAATATGGTCAAGAACTTCCCACTCGCCTTTATTTGATAGAAAAGTATAGTCTCAGCATATGTTGCTATCCAATAACCAGTCGTACAATGAGAAGAGCATAATGTTCTTGCTATAAGCCTCTATACATAGGCATCGTGATCGCATGCTTACAAGAAAAACAATCCGACTAAAATCGACTTCAAGTGCATGTGCTATTAGTCAAGTCCACCATGTATGTTATATTAAATGCACATTTCATGGAGAAGCGCAACTCATTCAGTTGTTCCACATTCAGGTTTCTTGTAACATGTACAACCTTGAAAATTTTATTCTCTTGAGTCGGGACTAGCACGCTTGTACAATTTTGTAGATTGTCCGTGGGCTCTAATGCTTGTGGATTATCTGTCGACAAATAAACTGTGCTTGAGCTTGCTTGTGATCATTTCGACTAATTTTCACTTCGCACGTATGTTCGTATGTCTACTTGCGAACTACAAAAAACTCATTTGTATTCATCTTAGTCGCTAATAAATGCCAACGGCAATTGTCATTGATGCAGACAATTGTCAACAACGACTTATTTGATTTCTTTACATTGAATTCAAAGTTGTACTTTAGAACCATCCGGTATATAGCTTCCTGCAATTTTTTTTTGTTTCAACAGTTGTTTGACATGTAAATCCTCATCATTGAGAACGACATGCGAAGAATTAAAGGACGGTATACTCGACACAGCCCTTGAGTTCCCCCTCCCCTCTCATTTATCTGACGGGATAAAATAATCTAATTCTCATTTGTAAATTCATTTTCATTGTTGTCGTGAACTATGGACGAAATTTTGTGCGGATAGCTAGATCACGATGAAGAACAACTGTCTTGGAAATAATCACATCATCCTCACTAGCTATCTCCATTGTGTCAAGAAATAATTGGCATTGCCATTCGTTCCATCCAAATTTTCGCGTTCACAAAGAGGAGTCGTGTAGATTTTGTTCAATTCAAATAGATAATTTACTTCAACATTGGAAGTAACCTTCATAGGTGGAATCAGATAGGTGAAAGCTCGTTGAATTAAAATTTCAGTTCTATATCCTACTGAGAGGGATCAACATTTAGTTATATTTTGTAAATCATGATACATTCCTGGGTATGGTGTACTCTCTATTATGGAAATTGGAATACTACCACGTATATCACTTGTCCATTTCTATATCCATAATTGTTTTATCCAATTCGAAATTATCAAAGTAATAAGCAGATATTACAATCATATCTGTATGACGAAACCAAATTTTTAATTATAAGAAAAAATAGTTGAAAAATCGGCTCAACCACTGGGCAATATAAATGTATTCAAAAAATATTTATAACTAGTGCACAGTTGATCGTAACAGTCGATTATAACTGTTAGTCTGAAAAAATTCATGCATGCAAATGAATTTTTTCTTATACATACATAAAAATAGATCTATTAAAAAAGTTTTATCTACATGTTAATTTATGTTGAAATAAGATTTATCGATTAAAAAAATAGTAATTTCACGAAAGTGAAATTAAATATACGTAATTATACTTACCAATTCGAAGTGATTGATATAAAAAAAATATTTTTTTTGTTCAGCGTTAGATAAATTTATGAGACTTTGAGGTTGAAGAAGATGAAAGATGAGAGATTTTTTATTTGTGTTGAAATAAACTCATAAGTTAATTGATTTTGAAATTTTAAGTAAAAAGTGTTTTATTTTCACTTGTTAACTAAAAGAGTAGTATTATCTTTCACACATAATAATATTTTGTAATTATATAATATATTTAAAGACACATTTGTTTTTTGGGCCGTGCTACACAGAAAAAAAAAAAAGGCCCAGAAGCCCTTACGAGTAGGTAAGGGCTTCGATCCCCCCCCCCCCCCTTTTTTTTTTT